AACAAACAAAATTTTAACCCAAAAAGAATCCTGGTGCATGCATCAGGCAGTCATGCTGTTCATAGCGTTTGACCAAGGCACGGGGACCGACGCGACCGTTCCGGGCGCGGCGGCCTGCAGCTGCCCCGCCTGGCGCAGCGAAGGGTTGGGGATAGTAGTCGTAAACAAGAAGGTTATCATGCACCCCATCTGATCTGGCGAGGCGAGTCAGATGCTTTGAAATGCCGTCGGAATAAATTCAACGAGGGCTGAGCGTCAAGCTTTAACATGGGTCACCACGAGGAAATGCAATCGGCCAGGATGGATCCTCTTAACAGATCATCATCTATCGCTCCGCTGTAACTGTGACATCCAGCTGGTCAACGCTGGTTAACGTGAAAGCGTATTATTGCTAGTGACACTATTATCACACATCATTCTACCCCTCTGTAATAGAAGGCTGCTAGTACTGCGGTTGCTTCCATGCTTTCCTGACATGGAAGCTTTCACACGACTATCGCCTCTTCGAACAGCCGGTTTCTTAAGGGTCTTGAAGTGGCATGTGCGAAATGTGTTCTGCTAGCAATGCGGCATCCGGGTACTGGGCAACTATGATTGACGTTTTCCTGACGCGGACTAATGGGCGGTGGATGCGACCTCGCTCGCATTTCCAATCAGAGTTAGTAGAAAACACCAGTGGCTTGGTCTCAACTGCACCTCGCGACTGGTACTAGTTTTTAAGCTTTTGGTTTAGTAATTGAGCCCATTTTGACAGGTCAAAGGCCGAACTTTCCAGAAAACCACACATTTTCAGCTTTGCAGCATTATGCATACAATGAAGTTCGTTGCAGCGCCACAAAACCTTAACAGATGTGTTCCTTGTTCCACTTTAAGTTCAATGGTGTATTTTTAGTGCTTTGAGCAAACAGTCATGATTTATCGGTACGTTCATGTGACAATGTTGGTCTGCCGCGCGCGCTCCACGGCATCGTCGGTTGATGACCGTCGCACGCGTCGGCCGTATATCGCCGTGCAGTCTCCCCCAAAACCGTCGCTGTTCCGAAACCAGAAAAACTAGGAAAATGATTTTGGTGTGAATACAGACAAATGGATGCCCCATAGTTAACGGAAAATTTGGCGCGATCGCGCAATATGTCGGAGAGGCATCCTCCGAAGACCTTAGGTGTGTTGTGTCCCCACCAGCCCCCCCCCCCCTCACCCATCGTCACGCACTGTGAGGCTGGGCAACCTCTTCCCTTCTGCCCTGGCAATACTGCCTTCAACGTAACGTCTCAAAGGGATAACGTCTGTCTGACCCTAATTGAGCTGGAGGTGCGAGACAAAGAGGGATGCATCGCTTGCCGTGAAAGCACGCCAACGGTATCCAGCTTTATGTTTTAAAACATCCCGTTTCCGTCGCCCACTCTGCCGATCCAACTAAACCTTTCTTTGTTTCAGTCGGTTCGTCTGATGCGTGCCAAGCGCACTTGATCAATCCACGCCTCCCGACGGATCCAATTTGCCTCTCAACGCAATAGAAGCCTCATTTCTGGTGTACACGGAGCTCTCACTCTGCATGTCATGCAGCGCACCTCCATCACGGTTCTACCTGATCCGCAAAACAGACCCACAGTTTAACACGACATTCGAGTACCTGGCCAGGAGGGCTATTTCGGTCTTTTCAAGTTTCCTTCATTTCAGTTCCCTTCACATCCACCCACGACAAACGCATCGGTGGGGAGATGCTGTATTTCAAATCATCATCTGACAAAGTGGGAAAGCTCGCACGACCTCCCCGCTGTAGAACTCTGCGGCCAGTGTCCGCCTAGTGCACCACGCCGCCCCGGCCGGCCACATAACATGGCGACCGGCTGCGTGAGTAAGAACTGAGGGGGGGGGGGGGGGGTCAATAGCAGCAAACGCAGACTTCAAGCGCCGTACAGTATGACACAGGTGGCAGAACTGAGTTCACTTCCTGTTCGTTTCGATACAGGTGTCCTTACGAAATATCAGAGCATCTATATATCCATTCTCCTCTCGTTTTTCTCCGAGAAATAAACCTACCCATTGCTGTCTCCGCGAAATAAGCCTACTCAAATAAGTCATTGTTGGTACATCATCGCATCTGGCACAACATTGATTGAGAGCCAATCGACGACCGTTATATCTGGAAATCGTGCTCATGAACGCCTCATATGAACGACTCTACCAGTATATTTGTATTGGCCTTGATCACCGCACGGCTCATGCAGTGGCAGGACCTGAGTCACGTTATTATGACGTCATGAATGCCAAGGTGATCCTCAAATACTCTCCCCGCATCAGCCTCCTCATATTTGCGGGCATGTAGTTTGGAAACTCGAGGGGTTTAGGTCTTAAGAAGGGCACGGCTGTGAACTGCACCGAATGACCTTTAACATGGCTATTTAGTTCAAGCGCGTTTCGCGGTCAGCCATGGCGTTGCGCTGAGGATGCCGGCCGTCAAATCGCGTCGGGCACTGTGCATCAGTGCAGATGTCCACTGATGTCCACTCAAACCGGACGGTACCCATCCTGTACTTTTGAGCTAACTGTGTTTGTGGAATATGCCTCATTTCGCGGTGGCGTAATTTACGGAAACTGAAAAAGAAAAAAGCAACGATAATCCCTGAAGCAACAATCACATTTACAGCTGATTTTTAACTATTTTCCAGACAAATCGGCCCATGTGGTTATTGATTTTGACGGGCCAGGTCTCCATCTAAAGCTGAGGGTCCGAACAGCCTCTACATGTGATGATACAACTTCAGGGGCATCTCCCGAAGGCCCAAGAGTGAGGCAAACTTCTCCTTTTTTTCTTAATCCTCATGGACTGCTAACTGCATTTTTAGCTCTTACATATTTCATATTTGACAACCATAAAACGACTCTGTGGGCTGGTCCTCTTTCCCGGAAACACTGCTTCGTGCAGTCCGAGCAGCGAGGACCACCAAATCCTTCCAGCGCATGTGCTGCTCAGTAGTTCAGTCAAGCACCTGTGAAAACATCACGTTGTTGACTTTCATCGCAAATGAATACATAGGGGTGCTGACATTAGTGTGGATAAGCCGAACGCGTCTAAAAAGTCAGGGATATGGAATTCAATTCGATTCCTCGCAGTGCCCGCCCTTCCCCCAGGGTAAGGAGTAAGCGACGCAACACGCTCTCGACACCTCAGTGGACCGTACAGCCGCAGCCATTGCAGAGCCGTAGACAACTTAATACATGCACCACCGGGTGCACAACCATATACCCTAATGTATTTACGTGCAAACCAATTTCGCAACGGACGAACGGAAATGACAGGGTATGGGGACGAATAATAACAGCGATGAATACAAACTCAAGAACATAAGGCGTTGCCAACGTAAGACATTCTTCAATTTGATGCTTACAGCTCACTCCTTCGTTTGCATCCTCACCGTACGGGGAACACATGTGCAGAATCGTGTCCGATATACTTAACATGATGGTGTTTCACCATACCTGATAGTGATGCTCATACTCTGACAGCATACGCCGACGCCACACTCAACACTGAAAAATCGTCACCAACTGAGGGAAGAAAGGTGGATGCTGAAATACGCAAGCTAATCCCGACATCAGTGTCTCAGGCAGCCAGAACTAAAATCAACCCCAAACCCGAATTATATTTTCCAACCCACAGGCATATGATTGTGTGACTGGGTTCTTTTGAGCAGCAAACGTCTGGAACATTGTGGAACCGGCCTAAATGAGGGAAAATAACTTATAGGCACTCATACCCTCGTTATGACGTAATTGTATAATATAGCATTATTGCTAAGCACGAACAAAAGTGCCAAGATTCTGGATCAGCGAGCTTTTTGTTGTTTTCAATTTCCTTCTGGAAACTTTCTTATCATTAAAAAATGTATCATTGACAGTTATTTTTTCCTGATGAGCTATAACTTGAATATGATTTGCAGCCTAAGGTTGATTGATCTGTGGTTAAAAAAATGTGATGAGTGTGTATATATACCTTATTGGCATTTGTGTTTGTTGCATTTTTCCAACACACTATAATCTTTCTACAATCATTCATAATGTTGTGCAGGATATTGTCCTTTCCACTCTATAGGATCCCACTACCTATGATTTTTTACTGAGGACAGGTGTGTGAAACCCAGGGCTCTAGTTTCCCAAATGCAGGCCTGGCTGAATTAAACTGAATCTACTATCATTATTGCATGCATAATGTTTAAAAATTGATTCCATGAAATAACATATAAGTTGCACATTGGCACTCACTGCACCTTGGCCATGGGCATAACTTGGTGTTAACTGTGAGGCAACCTCTCAGTATTGTGACAGAAACTGAAAAATAAATTATTTTCAACAAAGTTGCATCAGTGAGTCATATGGCTGAAATCAAATTGGCAGCACCAGGAAATAGTGTGCCCTAGGCCAATTCACACCTCATTTCAGCCAATGTTCATCCTGAAATTTGCCCAGTCTCAGCCTCGAGACCAGCATCCCATTCTCCGCACAACCCGGCTATCAATTTTTCCCAAGGCCCCGTCGCCCAGGCTATATCAATATCATACTTAACCGGTAGGTAACATGCTTCTGTAAACAACGTACAAGAGTTTCTCCGGACGTTTGCTAACCGCTTCCCCACGCTCCCCACTGGACATCAACCGAACGACCTCACGGCGTCTTAACAGCAACTCGCAATCAAATGAGAATTGGGGTGCCAAATGGTGATGATTTTCCACTGTCATGGAACGAAAATAAATTCACGATGCTCACCACCACATAGGCCCTCCTCCTCTGTTGAGCATTGTGTTACCGGACAGCGCTGTTTAGTATCATTATGTGTGCTAAACTCCGCCAGTTTAGCACGAATCGGTACTAAACACGGTTCCCCTCTTAGCACGAATTCGTACTAATTAGGCTCGCGGCCGTGTTGGGGGGGTATTCATTTTAGCTTGTTTGGTCTTGTTCTGCTTGCCGGGTTGGTGGGTTCTGAGCGTTCTGGGTCTGGCGAAGATTGTGTTGGTAGGTAGGACTTTGGCCCTCGGGTGAGGCATTTAGGAAGCTTAATTTCTGTGACAGTGGTAGTGGATTGAACTTCTGCAATCTAGCTAATGTGAAGACGAGAGGCCCGTACGCAGGTGACGAATTCTGATCAGAGCATCCGCCGAGATTTCCATGTCACCTTTCGCTTCAACTTAAAACTTCAGTTCGGGTGATCCTTGCGTTTCACCGGGCGTTTTCTAGATCCGAAAAGTGGCGGTGCTTATGGTGGATTGCTACCTTATTGGCCAGTACATGGAGACCAGTGACTTGCAGTCATTCAAATCTTGTTTCATGTGGGTGACTCAACCACCACTTGCTCATGCAGCTTTTGAGTGCATTCACATAAGAATGACAGTCACAACTGCTTATGAAGAATGATCACTGTATGATACTATCAAGGGGCTTAGGATACTGTTCACCAAAAGTCCTTGTGCACACATGTTGAAAAATTATGGTGAAGCTAGGCACACATGACTACTGAATGTGGTCCTCTCTCTCTCAATTTTCCCACCCTGCACCCTGACCCTGCACCCCTGCATAACCTCACTTTTGCACCACACAACCTTTGTATCACCCCACCATGCACCCCTCCTCCCCAACCTTTCATCCTGACCCTCTTTTCCAGTAGAGGACCTATGTTTGCCATAGCAATTACCTTCAGTATTGAATGCTTGCAGATTGGCAAGCAATTTTGGGTAACTGGAGAGAGAATACACTGAAATAGTCTGACTTGCATGGTGAGAAAATTGTCTACTTGACTTGCCTGTGACAAAAAATAATCCATTCTTGTCTTGGCCAGTCCTCTCATGATTTTCTATGGAAGCTAACATCTTTGCAACATTAGCTATATCATCATGTAATTTCAGTTGCAGTCATGGGACATTCTGTGGTGCATTGTATATTGCCCACCCACGTAGCTCAATCATTTGAGGCACCTGCCTTCTAGCATAGTGGTGGCGGGGTGATGGGTTCGAGTCGTGTTACTGTTCGCTGTCTGGTATTGGCAGGAGGCATATTCTTGGAATGTGTTACACATGCAAGTGGGTGCAATTTTCCAATCACTCAGCATTTGAGGCAGTCTTTTCAAGACTTATAATGTACTGTGGACACAATATGCTGTTCCACTCAGTAATTTTTTCTCCTGTTTTGTTTAAATTGTGTACTTCCTAACTTAAGTTATGGGCACAAAATGACCTCTGATGTTGGCATGTCCTTGAGCTCTTATCATCATCATGATGGGTTGGATGGCCAGCAGCTGGTGGCAGCCCACTCTGGGCCAAATGGCATCAGAGGGTGCTGCAGGCTACTGAGCATTACAGGATGGTTGATGCCTGCTTCAAACTTAAAAAACTTTGGCTGTGAAAGGTGCCCCAGTTAATTTTGTTTTCAGTGGTGATTGGTGTTTTGGAATGGCAATTTATGTTGAAACTGTTGAATTTGGAATAGTTTCCTGCAATACTGGTGGTGTGAACAATGTAAAGGCTGGCCTGTTTGAGTAATATTGGAAATGCAAGTTGCAACAGCTGTTAAAATGAATATTCCATGCTGACCTGTATTTCCTAGCTCTGACACACTGCTGTCCTTACTGGGCTTGACAGCTTACCTGCATCAGTATACCATTGATATGTGTTGTTACAGGATCAGTATGGCCGACTTCGACCCTCAAGATAGTGATGAGTCGGGTGATGAGGACAGCTGGAAGGATTCAACCCATTCTGGCCGTGATGGTGCCATTTTTCTGGTGGAAGTATCCCCAGAAATGTTTCAGAAGCGGGAGGATGAGGAAGATAGCTTTTTACAGCTGGCATTAAGGGTATGGTGTTCCCCCAATAGAAGCATCAATCAGGTGCAATTCAATTTTGATGCTGTGTCAGATTAGTGTGAATGATTGTCATGCATTATGATATGACTGACGATAATCTCTCGAGGGAGGGTGTCCATGTTCCGGCTCCCTCCCCTGTCCCCCTTGCGGGTAAGGTTGGCATGTTAGCTCTGCATGTATAACATTTGTAAAGGAATATTATTCCATTGCATAACTTTCTTGATATGCTACTGTTGGGCTTCTCCATAATATGCTCCAGTCAAAAGCATCTTCCAGTCATGCCACAAAGCTTCTGTAGTACCAGTCGAACCAGCTGTTTCTCCACAGTGCTCCCTCTCCATGATCGTCAACAAGGGTCATCAGCTCCAGCTCCGACTACGTTGGGGTGGTGCTGTTTGGCACAGAGAAGAGCCGCAGTTCCAGCACCGACAACGTGTACGTGCTGCAGGAGATGACACTGCCCGGGGCGCCGGCCGTACTGGACCTCGAGCACGTGATCAAGGGTAAGGCGCTGGTGGCTGACGCTGGCTACAGGTGGGAGGAAGGGCCCTTGCCCCAGGATTTCCCATGCTTCCACATGGTTTCGGCGGTGACTATGGCACTAGGTGGTTTTACTGTCATAGATAGGTTTGGAGTGGTTAGTGTGTACAACTGCCGGAAATTTTGACCACTATTCATCATTCCAAAGCTTGGGAGCTAGGGTGAGAAATGACAGATATGGTCAACAAAGTGAGGATGTTTTTGCATTCCTGCATTCAAATCTTGCATGCGATAGAATTGATCATGTGTGATAAAATGGTTGAATAATGGTTTGGTTGTACATGGGAGTTTTCAAAAGTTTGTGCATTACTAACATGGTCTTCGGGTATTTTGCTCTAACCTCCCAGTCAGGTAAGTTGACAATTCTTCTGATAAACCCGTGAAAATGTATTGCTTTGCATGGGTGTTGTGGGAACCATTTGGTGCCAATTGATTGCCGTGGTTTGTTTGATTAACATTGACATGGACTGAATCGCTCCTCTTTTCACCTGGAAGAAACTAGCAGACTCATATTGACACTGTTAGCCATACAATTTCTAATGACACTGACTATGTGTGCAAAATGGAAACGTACTCGGCTGGTACCAGGCTGGTGCGAGGCTGGTGCTACGTAAGGTCGTAGTTTGATTTAAAGAAGTGCCGGATGCAACACATGGAAAGCTCTGGGCAGTATCATATTGCGGTAAGCTACTCACGTACATTTGTTACCATGATGAGGTGAATTAAGTTGTATTGCTTGTGTGTTCTTAGCATTGCTGCTATGCTAGCAGACCTTATTTGATCAGAAGCTTGTTCACTAACAGATGCGTTCTTCCTTGCAGGAGATATGGACGAGTTCCGCAGAGAGATAGGCATCAGCAGCAAATTCGCCCTCGAAGACGCCTTATTCCAATGCTTGTCAATGTTTACCAACACGGACAAGTGAGTACAATCACAGGCATTCGTGGGAAGGACTATTTAAGTCAGTGATGGGCGGTTTGCTTCGCGCTATGGTGCAGTGCTTCCTCTTGCATTCCAAATGTATTTCATAACTGAGGTCTAGTTAGTACATCAGGGGATAGGTGTGCACCATGTTGTTCGCGCTGTTGACACCAGTTAACATTCCACCTGGCATGCTCTCCTTGAGTACACAATACTGGATTTGGCGTTGTCACTGAAGCGCCGTGTACACCCACTCGCCGAAGCACGTACGTCTGGGCCCCATGATAACTCCCAGTCGCACCACAGCGCGCGGCCCACCCCCTGTGTTTGTGCGCTGCGCCCATCCCCGTCGCGCCAGTCGATCACGCATGGCGCCGCGCGCCCTCCAACGCCCTCTCACGGCCGCCGATCGCAGGACCCATAAGCTGCACTCGAAGCGCTTGCTGTTGTTCACGAGCCGCGACCGTCCCGTCGACGCCGACTCGGTGGACCTGCGGCGTCACGTCCACCAGAGGGTCAAGGATGCCCGCGACAACGATATCGCCGTCGATCTCTTCCCGCTCGGCAAGGCCTTCGACGTGGCCGCGTTCTACTCGGTGGGTGGTCGGGCGGCGCGGCGGCGGCGTGGTTTCACGCCCCGTGGCTGTGTGTTTCGGCAGTGCCTCCGACGCCTGGAAGCGGCGGGTTTGACCCTCCTCGGTGGGGAGCGTTGGCACGCGGCGGGCGGCACGTCCGGGTCCTGGCGGTCCATGTGGGTGCTGCTGCTGCCCCCAGAACAGTCCCCCTGGCGCGTCTGTGTGCTGTGGACGGGTGGGCCAGCGGAGAACAGTCCCCCGGGCGCGTCTGTGTGCTGTGGACGGGTGGGCCAGCGGAGAACAGTCCGCACGCTGGACATGCTCGCCGCTGGACAATCGACAGCTGTCGATATTCCAGGGACAAACACGGTCGTCCAGGCAAATGCTTTGTGCGTCAACGCGCACGACGCCTTAGAGGTACGGCCGTAGCATCGGCTCCCACTGTTCGGTCCCGAGCATCGTGGTTTTGTTCCGGTCATGTGGCGTGCACTGGCATCCATTGCTTGATCTCGACTGTATAATGTTCGCACCCAGGTGTGTTTTATAACTGACTGAGAGACGAGCTTAAAAGCGGGTCCCGGTGGCGGCGTTTCTAGGTCCGTAACTAGGTCTAGGTCCGGGAGGTGAACTGAGCAACTATGACTTGTCAACAGGAGGTGTTGTTCGATAACGCATCGGACGAGCGGCCGCCGACCGCCGACGTCTCGGACAAGCTGGAGGAGCTGCTGGCGCGCGTGCGACAGAAGTCCTACAAGAAGAGGGTGCTCGGCAAGATCCCGTTCGTGCTCGGGGAGGGGCTGAAGCTGGCCGTCGGCGTGTACAACCTCATCCGGTGAGAGCGCGGCGTGGGTCCGTGACGAGCCGCGGGGTGTCTGGCGTTCGGACGTGACCGTCGGGACCCAGGCACGCCTGGGAGAGCGCGGCGTGGGTCCGTGACGAGCCGCGGGGTGTCTGGCGTTCGGACGTGGCCGTCGGGACCCAGGCATGCCTGGGAGAGCGCAGCGTGGGTCCGTGACGAGCCGCGGGGTGTCTGGCGTTCGTACGTGGCCGTCGGGACCCAGGCATGCCTGGGATGTTGACGTTCACCTGTTGCGATGCAGTGCCAACATGATGGTCGTGTACGGCAGGTATTTTCCCCGCCAGATTCGTACAAAAGCATTACGTCTGTTTCGTGTTTATTAGCGTCATTGCCACAATTACCGTCAGCTGGCGGCCGGCGTCGGTTCTCGGAAAGCGCACTGCATAGCTCATCTGTTCATCTCAACTGACCTGGTCGCGGACGTCACTCTCCATCCGCCGGCCGGCCGGCCGGCGCGACAGCTCCCATCCACTCCCTATTCCCACTGTCACCCGTGTGACCTGTAGTGCGCCTCGCTGCCAGCAGCCGGTCCCGCCGCTGCCGCCGCCACCGCCGCCTCCCCATGCCGATCTCCCGCCGGCGGCGCCGTGACCCACGACCTCGTCACCCTCTGCGCCGCCGCGACGCCGCGCTTCGCCGCCTCCCGTGACCCGTCACGCTGCCGCTCGGCCGCAGGCCGGCCACCAGGCCGTCGTCCGTGCTGCTGGAGAAGAACACCAACCAGCGGGTGAGCTCGATCACGACGTACGTGGCCGGCGAGCGCACGCTGCACCGCTCGGAGATCAACCACTGCCAGAAGGTCGGCGACCGCCAGATCGCCTTCAGCAGTGTGCGTATACCCGGCCCGGCCGGGCAGCGGGACGGCATGTACGGGTGCGGGTACGGGTGCGGGTACGGGTACGGGTACGGGTACGGGTACGGGTACGGGTACGGGTGCGGATACAGGTACGGGTACGGGTGCGGATACAGGTGCGGTGATCCGGAAGATGGAGTGATCGGGGCTTTTGGCCGCTGGCACCTCGGCCGGTATGGGTGCTGCCGTGAGGGGGGCATGCTGAATTGATAGTTGCACGTAAGGGCTGAAGAGGGTGGCGGCCGGCCGTGACCGCGCGCCCTCTGTGTACGTGCGTGCAGGACGAGGTGCGCGAGCTGCGCGCCATCTGCGAGCCGGGCCTGGTACTGCTGGGCTTCCAGCCGGCCAGCCACCTGGACCCGCTGCAGCACGTGCAGCCGGCCAGCTTCATCTACCCGGAGGAGAACTGGATCAAAGGCAGGTGCTGAGACGCGACTCAGGGCGTCCGGCGCGCCTGCTCGGAGAGGCGGGTGTCCCGGCTGAACGCGTGCTTCTATTTTGCTTGGGGCACTCGTTTCGCTAGTTCGCTGTTTAGATCACTAGTTTGCCTTCAGGTCTATGGGATTTCCCCGGCTCTCAGCCTTTGTGTGTTTGTCACATGCCTGAAGTCCTTAATAACGTCAGTACGGGCATGGGTCATTTCTTGATCATGACCGCCATGTAGCGCACTTCTGAGATCAATCCCTGATGTCACGAGCAGATAAGTATGCACATGCTGTCAGTGAAGTAATTGATCGCCGCAACATCACGTGGCATATGAAGCGCGTCCGTCAGCACCGATGCTGCACGGTCCGACTCTGCCCCTTCAGCTCTGCGGAAAGCCTTCGGCACTACCCCGCCGGGTCACCATGCCCCGGCCGTCTGCCTCAGCGGTCAGCCTGGTCTAGTCCCGGGCCGTCTGCTCCCCCAGTAAGTGACCTAACCGCTGGTCCCTCGCCAGTCAACGTGTCTCCCGCGAGCAGGTGTCGCCAGTCCTCCGCCGCGTCCTAGCCCCCGTCTCTCCCTCGCCAAGCCGACGCCGCGTGATCAGCTCCGCTGTAACCGGCAGGCAGCCGCCAGCTGTTCGCCGCTCTGCTGCGGCGCTGCTCGGAGCGCGCCCTGGTGGCCATGTGCCGTCTGGTGGCGCGCCGTAACGACACGCCGCACCTGGTGGCGCTGCAGCCGCAGCCAGAGGTGGTCAGCGACGGCGTGCAGACGGCGCCGCCCGGCTTCCACGTCATCTACCTGCCGTTCGCCGGTCAGTGGCGCCGCCGGCCGCCGCCGGGGCCGCGGCCCGAGCGTCCGGACGTGACCCGGGTGGGGGGTAGTGCAGGATCGCGCGGAGCGTGTCGGGTGTTAGTCGGGCGGCTCGCGGACCGGCAGCTGGCGCCGGCGGGTGAGGGACTGGGCGATAGGCAGACGGCGGTGGCTGCTGCGGGCGGGGACGAACGCTGCTAAGGATGGAGGGTATGGGATAGCCTGAGCCATGCTGAGGTTGCGGAGCAGATTATGTCGCCTCGCGTTGTAGAATAATACGCATTGCGCGGTGGGTGCCGTGCCGGCGGAGGCAACAACTGTTTCAGTTTGGTTGTCAAGTGATCGCTGTCTGTAGTGTTCTTTCCACTGTCCATGGGAGAGAAGTCAGATATGATGACAAATTGATATCTGACTGATGATCACAGACTAGGATCTCACTGATCCCATGGTATAGCATGTTGAGTTCGAGAAGGAGCATGCGGCTGCAAAGGTATTGATGACGTCACAGATCCGATTTGTCAATTTTAGTACCTTACAGCTGCCTCAAATTTATCATATAAATAGTTTTGTGGGGTTCACAATGGTGGTGGTGGAGGGGAGAGGGTGCACAAGATGTGCACCCCAGAACAGCGAGCCTCGAGACAGTGAGCGCGAAGAGCACCGGGTCAGAACGAAATGGCCCGGTGGATGACTTACGTAGCCCCGACTCAAAAAGAGCTCCATTTCTCCCCGGCAGAAGAACGTTAACGCTAGCAACAGCCTGCTTTTTGTCGTCGGCAGACGATATACAAAGTTATAATAGCCGAAGCTAAAACCGTTTGGCCTAATCAAATTAGGTTCATGGGGCACAGTTAAACAATTTTTTAGCTGCGTCAGCGACACCTTCTGTATCGTCACATAATCTGCCCACCGTACAGACTGTGCTCACAATGACTGAGTTGTTCCGTTCCATTGCGTGCGGTGTGCGGCGCGCAGCTGCTGACGTCACCGGCCTGTTGCAGACGACGTCCGCCAGCTGTCGCTGCCGGCGCCGCGGCGCGCCACGGACGAGCAGATCGAAGCCGCCCGCGCCATCGTCACCAAACTGCGCTTCAAGTACGCGCCCGAGAAGATCGAGAACCCCCAGCTGCAGAAGCACTGGATCAACATCGAGGCTTTGGCGCTGAACCGGCCTGATGTGGAGGAGTTCACTGATTACACCGGTGAGGGGCGGGCGAAGAGGGCACCGATTACACCGGTGAGGGGCGGGCGGGGAGGGCGGCGCCCGCTCGCCGGCCTGCGGAGACGGACAGCCTCGCGGTGCGTGACTCGGGACAGGCCTGGTGCGGTGAGGTCGGTCGGCGCAGTCACCGGCGGTAGAGGCCTCTCGTGCCGTTTGCGGTTGTGTACTTGCTCCCCGCGCGCTCTGCGCCGCCAGTGGTGTCGCGCAGAGGGTACCCGGATATCTCTGTGCACTTATATCAAGTCTCCGTATGAATGTTTAGGACGGATTTTGCGGATTTTTGCGGTGGTCAATGCAGGGCCGACAGCCGTCTTTAAGAATCTGTTCTTGCCATTGATACCGAAACCTTTCATCGCGCAGAACATCACCGGTTCGAAACCCAGTCAAGGAAGTCATAAACACGCACCAGCTCCAAACCATTCCTGGCCACTGCGTCGTGCGGACAGTGACCCGACTCTAAGACCCAAACCTAGCATCATCTGACTTGGCCATCTGTCGCCGCGCGCGACACCGTGGCGCACCGCGTCCTCGGCTTCATTGCCTCAGTGAACTGAAGAGTAGGTGCCGGCCATCCAGTCCGGTGACGACCAAAACCGCGCCCTGTTTCAGCACCGGACGTGGAGCGGATCAGGAAGAAGGCGGGGCCGCTGATTGAGAAGTTCCAGGAGCTCGTGTATCCGGAGGGGTACGACCCGCTGGCCAAGAGCAAGCCGCGGGCGCCCGCCGCCAAGCGGCCCAAGCTGGACCCCGACGCCGTGGACGTGCGCGCCCTGGCACTCGAAAAAAAGGTGAGGCCGTCGACCGCGGTCGCCGGCCCGACCCCCGCCCCACTTCCCTTCCCGGTATTCTTCTCTCCTACCGGCGGTGAAGCTTTCTCGTCAGCTTTTTGTTCGTGACAGAACTGCTGGGCCCTCGCTTTATGGTATGTTCTGGTATGAATGTTGTGCTGCAGTTCTTATGGGATTTCATTATACAAGAGATTGTCGTAAGCACTAGCATAGCAGACTCGCACCAGTCTCGGGCAGTGAGTCTCGCAGCCAGGTCCTGTTGGTCACGTGTCACACGGTCTACCGCTAAACATCGGCGTCTGCTTCATCGCAGGTCCTGTCATCCCCATTCACAGCATGTTTGCTCGTTCGTGATGTATCGCGGACCACGCCGCAACGCCTGTGGCCGTCCTCACCGCTGAGGGCGGCGTCCGGACCAGCCCTCGCCTAAGCCGCGCCTTCCGTCGCAGGTCCACACGACGACGATGCCCGTGCTGAAGGCGTTCCTCCAGGACGCCGGCGTGTCCGTCAGCGGTCTGAAGAAGGCCGACCTTGTCCAGGCCGTGTACGAACAGCTGGAGCAGAAGCAGTAGCGGCCGGCGCCCCGTCAGCCGGCGGTGGGCCGGGACGGCGGGGCCACGGCGCCAGTACCCGCCGACATGGCGGCGGTTGAGCGCTCTCGACGTGCTGCGGCTCTTCTGCCGTGTCTTTTGCTGCTTGCTTTGTGATGATTATCGTTGAGTTTCTACTGATTTTTGTACGGACTAGACCAGAGTGGTATGTACAGTTGAGCGTGTGATGTTTTTGTTGGATTGGCAGTGTTTGTGGCTACATTGGCGGTGTTCTACACGATGTCAAGACTTTCCATTGACTGTCTGGTGTGTGCGTGCGTGTGTGACTTGTGGATGCCTTCAGCCACCCAGCGACCACGGGCGCTCGTGGACGGTTTTCCTGTCGTTACCGAGCATTATCGGACTTACAAGTGAAGTGCCTCAACTGCAACGATCTCTGACCCGCATAGTACAGAAAACGCACAATACATGCTTCGATAAACACTCGTTTGCTGTTTGTACAGTCTGTTAAAATGTGCGATGTTCTTGGCCGTGTTATGGATTTGTTAGTGGGTTGTTGGCGTGAACAGTGTTGTTTCAGAAGAAGCCAGAATTGGTTCGCCACAGTCGTGCAAACTTCTGCGCAGTCGCACAGGCGACAGTAGCCGATGGGAAATCGCCGAATGCGTCGTTGCTTGAAGAGTCAACAGATGGCGTTGGGTGTCAGCAAACATTTGCGAAGCGGGAACAGCGCGCGGTTTCGGTTACGAAGTGTAAATAATAAAATGTCTCAGCGGATTATCATGTTGCATGGATTATGCGAGTGAAGCGTTTATTTTACCCGTCATTTTTCGCACGCTATTATTGAGGGCGTTATTGTCAGCGCCATAGAACAAATAGATGTCGGAACAAGCACGCGCATTGTCACGGTCACCGAGCGCTTAGGCAGGGCCCTGCTACGTTAAGGCCCAGCAACCTGGGCCCACTGATGTGATTGGGATTTGCGTCCAGTTTCTATCGCTATTCGAACTGTGGGTCACAGAGCGTGCATGAAGTAGATGTACAAATATATCATGTCTCAGTATTTGGCCTGGCTTTCGCCAATTATTACGTCCACGCCGAAATGCGCTCCGTTACGCGCCCGCCGTATGCATATCCGGCTGCCAGAGCAGCCAACCCGAAATATCACCCTGCCGCGCTCTGAGACTGTTCCTCGGCGACAGGTTTGGAGGCAGATGTAGCCGATTTAAGTCATTCAGGATCGACATTGGCCAGCGCACCAGATATTTGTCAGACGAGAACACAGAGTGTCGCCAAAGGTCCACGGCGCGGCAAGCGACTTAATCAGCGGAGGTCGCCACGCCCTCTCCCGGCAATGATCTTGTTTGTGGTGATTGCTTGCTGGCGAAGGTAGGTCGATCAGGCTCGTCTCCTTTGAACGGAATGGGAGCGAGTCTGACCTCTCGCAGCAACGACTTTGTTCACGCTATCAAAGCTGCAGGGCTCGAGAGGATTTTGAGACCTGACTTCAGATGCCGTGCTTCGTCGGGGCTAAAGCACGTCGGTGTGCATTGAGTAACAGAGGGCTGGTGCTGGTTAAATTTTCTCGCTATCTTTCTCGCTATTTTCTCACTATAGAATGTTGTCAGACCTTTACACAAGTGCTGCATATCTAACCCGTGCGTTTCAGTCCAGGTAATCATGACTAAACTGGCCCCGTATTATTGTTCGCGACTTTGCATCTTATGTTGTGCTGCGTGTGTCCCATACCTCGATAGCTTTTCGTTCTCGGTCGAGCGTTATCCTCGCGTTTGCCATTTGCTAACGCCTGTTACGCGCCCGGACGCCGCAAGGCTTCCTGGAGCCTGCGTCGGGGTGCGTTCGTGCAAAGCTGCCCAGTGGCCCGCGCGCGGACCTGATCGATTTCACGCCCTTCCCGCCAGCACCAGATCAATTACGATACAAACCCAGCGGGGCAACACCGCATAGCCCAGTGCGAGAAAGCACAGCTCTCCTGCTGGTCTTCCGCTATAGGCCAAGTATCGATGAGTTGAACCAACGGGTCATTCGGTGCCTTGCCTGACCTCACGTCCTTGAACAACCGACTTCTCTGCGCGCTGGCTGACCGGCGGAGGACTCTGCGCTGGAACAGCGCTCCGGTTCATCCCATCGCTCCACCGCGTCACACGCGCGTAACAACGGCCCATCCCATCGCTCCACTGTGCCACACGCGCCGAGCAATGCCGTACGGCTCGCGCGACAGGTAGACGAGGCATTCGTGATTAATTCGCAAAATAACAGCTCTGTCGCGGCGGATCGCCGCCGTCCGGTGCCCGCCATATAAATATTTGACTAGCGACGCTTTTTGTCCGCTCTTCAGTGTCAAAAAACCGGCCACAAATACCATAATGGGGTGCACGCTAGCCGATGCGGCGGCCGTGCGCCGCTGCCAAAACCGAATTAGAATTATTGAATATGAATAGATTAGCGGCGCGTGGGCGGTCGCGTTAGGGCCGTGTGACAGGCGTGATTAGCTAGGGGAGCCGCGCGGGGGGAGGGGGGCACGGTGGCAGCTCGAGACCGGACTCGACCGGACCTGACCACCAGACCGCACCGGCCGGACCAGACCTCTGGCGTGACCCAGCCGGCTACCGGAGGCCAGACGCGCGGCCAGGCCGCCGGCCGGCCGGGTGAGCGGGGCGCGCTCCCACGCGTCTGGTGCCACTACCGACGCCGGTCCAGCGCCGCTCGGCCCCGCTGACAACTATGACCTGGCTTTCTCAGTCTGTCGCTCCTGGACTCTTCCGGATAGCAGAAATAAATAGCAGGCTTCGAAAAAACTCACCGTGCAAAGGCCGATGAAATGACAAAATGCGGCTGAATTGAATGTTCTGGAAGTACTGCTACTGTTGGTTTTCGTTTTGTCAAGTTTTGCGATTGAGATATTGGGTCACATTTCGTTATACCGCACAAGACGTCACACTCGAACAGGTCCTGGCCAAGCGTACGGTCGCCCGGCCGTCGAGCTCAGCATTCATCGGTGAACGATGCCTGCCCTGCCGCTGCCTCCGGATGTCACCACTGATTGTTTTGGCCGAAATATGCCCCGATCTTAGTGCTTTCAGGCTCGTGAGCTACAGCGTTCCAGGCCTTCATAGGGACGTGGTTACGAATGCCTGGCTTTGTTCTACAGCCTGTCTTTCTCAGCTCAAAACTCCATATGGAACTGAAACATTCCCCTCGAGAGACGGCCTTACGACTGCGCGCAGATGTGGCCTGCCAGCGGTGTACCGCAGCGTTCATGCGTCGCTTCGAGGATGCTGGTCGGCGGGCGGATGTAACCCGTGTTAACTAGCAGAATGCCTGGGAGGCAGCTGTAAATTAATCACAAATCGGCAGCGCCGGATCACGCGATGTTTTGGCCTCCAGCAATCTTTGAGAAGGCCGCGAACTGGCTATCATGAGTGAGCCTGGCGCGAGCCTTGATGCCTGGCGGCTCGGCTGCTGTTTTTTGGTTTGGTTCTGCTAGTCTGAGATGTGGAAATAACTGTGGACTAGCAATGTAGCCATGGTTTTCGCATAACTGACCGACGAGCGTACGAACGATTTCGGCAAGCTGGCGATGCCCAGGTCATATCTTGTATGCGTGACACACGGTCAAGACCCGGGTTGCGTGTTATTGTAGAGCTCCGATTTATATGATAGATTTGTGTCAAGAAACAGGCCCACGATCTGCAAGACTCATTTTATAAATATATGCTGTCCATCTAACTCCTACACGGCAGCATCAAACTCCCAAATCGCGACACCCTCGAATTATCGCGACACGATCAGCTTCCCAAACCAAAAGCCCCTTCATGCATGTGCACCTCCCACCACGCCTGTTACGCCTGGCCCGACCTGCCGTCCTCTGTCCCTGCCATGGCCTGGCCGGCGCCCGTGACCCGGGCAGGACGCGTCCCCGGCAGGCCGACGCGGTAATGTGCGGTTGACTGTGAACTATTCCCGGGCGGGCGGCGGGGCGGCCCGGCGCCACTGCGCGCCGGCACCTTCTGAAGGTCTGAGTACAAGGCAGCGCACGGGCCCGTCGCCCGTGGCGGCGCCGGCCGACTGTAATGACCGGCTGTGACCGGCAACCCTTTGGTAAGGCCACCGGCGTCAAACGCGCCCGACCGATTTTTTGCCACGGTAACGGCGACGCGGCGTCATGGAAGAGATGAGAGGGCGCAAGAGCTGCTATTGATTGGATAATTGCAAGGGTAGGTGTCGTAATTAGCGAGCGCTTGTCTGATACCAGCCCGGCATAGCATCAGACGTCGGTGATAGGCGCTCCGATGGAGGAAGCCCGCAGCGTTGGAGAGAAGTCATAAACGAAGTCGCTCTGATTGAGGAAGTCCGCAGCGTTGGAGAGAAGTCATAAACGAAGTCGCTCTGATGGAGGAAGCCCGCAGCGTTGGAGAGAAGTCATAAGCGAAGTCGCTCTGATGAAGAAATGGAGGAAGCTCGCAATTTTCGAAATATGTCATAAGTGAAGGCGCTCTGATGGAGGAAGGTCGCAGTTTTAAAGAGAAGTCATAACCGAAGTCGCTCTGATGACGGAAGCTCGCAGTTTTGGAGAGAAGTCATAAGTGAAGTCGCTCTGGTGGCGGAAGCCGCAGTTTTGGAGAGAAGTCATAAGTGAAGTCGAAGTCACTCTGATGGAGGAAGCCCGCAGTCTTGGAGAGAAGTCATAAGCGGTCGCTATGCGACGATCAGAACCTTGTCAACGGAGTTCGTGTCGTTTGTAGGATGCTTGTTTTGACGTCAGTAATGACAGTTTAGTATCATGCTGTGTGTGGTTAAACGAACTGAAAATAACTGCCTGGGTGCACAGTAGGGTAGTTTCGTTATTCTTATGCACACAATGATCGTTTTGATGTTGTTGATTTGTTTCAATACCTAAGCAAAATGCGTCACACACGCTGTGCTTCCAGGACCGAGGGCTGAAGAACGTCACAACAAGCAGGCAAGGTAGTACTGACCTGACGCCTTACAGGTAAACCATATTCGTCTGAAGCCTGTCACATTTTCCCTGCCGCTAACGGACTATAACGCTCCCGTTTGAGAATTTTGCAGTCGACACATGAACACAATATAAATACAAACCGATAGCCAGGAAGACAAAAAATCCGCATAAAACAAAGAAAAGGCATTGTTCAATGCTGCACCCTAAATGCATGGCACGAATCACCTCGTAATGGATGAGTTGAAAATGGAACATTTCCGTTGAAAAAACACGTTTGCGACTCACCGTCACACCTTATGAGTGGTCATTGGCCAACCCTTCCTGTTCCAAAACGACCCGTCCACCACAGAGCGTGTATTTAGAGCTGTTAGCGGCCGGTACCGGCGTCCGGGCCATCTGTGAGGCAGCGGTCGTCCCATTGTCGAGGCGGAGGTGACCCGGGCGATGAGGAGGGGTGCCCCGCCCCCGGCCCTGTCACCTGGCCGGTGACATCTGTCGAACCGGTGGCGGCGGCGACCGGGTCTTCCCCGCCGGCCCCTCCCCCTGACCGAAGTGTCTCCCCTCCCCAGCTGCCCAGCTGGAGCGGACGGCCCCCGCCCCTGGCCTCCGGCCAGGTCCGGGCCCGACCCCTCCGGGCAGGTCCGGGCCCGACCCCTCCGGGCAGGTCCAGGCCCGACCCCTCTGGGCAGGCCCAGGTCCGACTTCCTCCGGGCAGGCCCAGGTCCGACCGCTCCGGGACTCGGCCACCCCCCGCAGCCTCTTGCTCATCCGTGAGGTCGACCTGGTCAGCCAAAGACACGTGCTGTGTGACGATAATTTATGGTAGCATGCGTCATTTTCTTATCATATTTGTGGTAAGGCATGTGCAAACAACGTTGCATGTTTTCAATAATCCGTGATCTCCTTACAAATGAGGCAATTCAGGCTAGCACATTGCGCGTTTATTTTTTCCGTGTAACAATGGCGGTCACACTTGGCCGCAGCCCAAACCCGTGGGATCGAGCTGCGAAAAGTGCAGCGGTGTGCGACAGGCGAACCTGGAGCTGAGCTCTAAGCCGCGGCACTCACCAC